CCCAAATTGCGGCGTGACATCTTAGCGAAATGAAACCGCGCGCTCGCGGAAATCTTCATTTAATATTCGCGTTTGCTTTGCATCTACTAATTAATGTCAGAAATGTGGGCAACTGACACGCCCACACGACCATGCGTACCACACGTATTCATTTTTGATTTAAGCTCCAAAAAAAGGAAAAACTAGGTACAAACTTTTGCCAATTCCGTAGGCAGCAAATTTTCAATTTTCAGCTAAAAACTTTGGCAGGCGGCATCATTAGCCAACGGCGGCGACTGCTGTTAGCCGTCATTAAAAACAGTTTACAAAAGCAGCCAACAGCTAAAAGCCTTTTTCAGGACAGGTTCGAGGGTGGGGAAGGGCTGGCAGCTGCACGTATACGCCTGGGCAGGGAAAATAAATCAGCGAAATGTTTGCCTACTTTACTTCGAAGCAGGCCTTGAGAATATAGCTCCACAAAAAATTAGATTTAAGCGAAACAAAATCAACATTAAAAAAAAAACGAAAAATCAAAAAAATTAATAAGTGACATGAATAATTTCCGTCATAGCGATGAGCGTGTGCATGTTGTGCCTATTAATGAGAGTCCAAATCCATATCAAAATCATAATCTGAATGCAATCGTCTGGCTACATCCGTTGGAGCGACAGCAGCGAGAGAAACGCGAAGCGACCTACAACAAGTTGAAGGCCGAGAATGATAAACTGTACGAGCTGCTCCTGCTGGCCAAGCTGCAAGCGGTGCGCAAGTGGAACAAGCGCAAAAATTTGTGAATAGCCCATGAAATCAAGGAAGCCAAAAGGATGTGGTTGGGATATTCCAGGAAGCTGAAGAAACAGGATATGCCAGATCAAGTGTTTGCTTATCTAATCGTTCATTTGGTCGTTCGCTCATTTTATTTTATTTTTGTTCTGTTTACTTTTGCCTGCTTTGCGAAAGTCAAAATTTTCTTGTATTAAATTGTGTTTATAGCCAGCGGGCTAAACATATAGTACTAAATATATATATACATAGTGTGCGGTGTCTTTGTGTTTGCGAGCCAAATGAAATTCGTGTGCTTTTGTTCATGTGACTTTCGCTTTTCTTTCGTTTTCAGCTGTCTGCAGCTGGAAAATGCATTTTACTCTAGTGCCCACAAAAGTATGCAATGGATAAGCCAATAGCTGCGGGCAATGCCATTTCTAAAGCACACAACTGTGTGTGTGTGTGTTTGTGTGTGTGGGGGTATAACGAGGTCAGTGCGTTGGTACAAAAGTTGTCAACTTGAAAATTACACGTAGTGCAAATCAGTAAAAATACACACTCGCTCGCACACACACAGACCCATTTTAATGGTGTGCGCATGTTGTGTGTGTCTTTGGTTGCAGCTCGCCCAACTGTTGCCCTCTATTTGAGTTTATCAGCGTGTAAAATGCGCAATTCAAATGCAAATGTGCAGTGTAATTAAAATTGTGCAAATGCGTGCTGCGTTTTTTCCCATTGACTTTTGTGCCCTTTTTTAGCTGCCACAATTGCTCAGCCAATTTAAGAATATATTTACCATTTAAGAATTTATGTATTATACTAGGCAATTACCTAAATTATATTCTAATACCCTCTGCGGAAACTGTTTTGCAATGCACTTTTTACTATATACTGTTGGACAGTTAACATACACATGTCGAAAATGTCTATATATATTTACAAAATTAAATCTCAATAGGGCTATTCTAAACCAAATTATTGCTGATACATATCAAAATGCCAATTTTTCTTATTAGGGATAAAGGTAGATCGAAAGAATGGTTAACAAAAACTAGAGCGAATACATACCATTAAAACTAACACATCATATCTGTTCTTTATTGCCTAAGACAATCTTTTCTACTTAAACAAATAAACATATTAGTATTTGAAATTAAATGGATCAAACTGGCCAGACCTCTCTCTCTAGCTTCTCTAAAAATATGTGTACTTAAAGTAAATAAAATATATAATTATATTCTAATTTGTAACAGTACGAATTCAAAAATGTTTTACCTTTTTGTAATTTATTGCTAAGTCTAGCTAACGCTTTGTTCAACTATAAACCAAAATTTGAACTGTCTCTCATAGTGAGCTCTATCAATTTTAATAACATACATTTTAATTATCTTTCTGAAATGAATTGCGTTTTCGATTTGTAAATGCCACAGATATCAAACAGTCAAGTTCCGGCGTATAGTTAATGATAATTTGATTGCTTTTTGAAAATTTGTACAATTCATGTGGCTCATAATTCGGGCTAACAATATTTTCGGTGAGCTTTGAAATGGGCAACGCATGTTGCACACGAGGCTGCCACTTGCCACAAATAAAGTCGTAGATATTTTTTGAAATAAAGCTGCCGTTATCACAAATTGACAGCAAAAGCATTGTGCGGCTATGTGGCAATGTGGCAGCATTATGGGGCAACACTTTGGGGCAGCTGTGCATAGCAAATGGTTGCGTTTCGGCTTTGGCCATAGACCATGGACCATGGGCAATGGGCAATGGACAATGGGCTATGGCTTCATGCGGTCACTCAACCAGGCTGAACACTTTACAGGCTTTTGCCTCGCTTCCGTTTCCGCACGCACGCACCCACACACACACACACATACACATACGTACACAGATAGAACGGGTGGCGCACACATTGTTAAGTGCTTTGTGGTTGCTGGCAGCGCGTTGATTGCGCTGTGGTCCAAAAATCTAATAAAGCGCCAGCATATGAAATGGGCCATAGTTTTCTTCTTCCCTTCATTCATTTATTTATTTTTTATTTTTTTTTTTTTGTGGAAACGGTTGGCACATGTCGATTTATGCTTTATTAAATCATATTAACAGGCAATCTGCTGCAACGGAATGTTCATTTCCGGGCATTTCGCTCTGTTTTAAATGTCGAGTTGGGTTTTAAAATTTGAAAGAAAGAAGAAAATCATTTTGAATAAAATTTGCTAAATACTAGACAAAGCTAAACAATAAAAATTCTAAAAAAATACGCAACTGAGCCGAAGCCGATACAATGGATGGTAGTGGCGATAATCAGCTGACGGTCCGCTACAATCGACGACCGGTCAATCGTAGAGTGCAAATAATACTCCAGGACTATCAGCGCTGGGAGCAACCGGCGGCGGCCTTTGCCAATCCGAATGTCACCCTGCATGGCCATGCGAATGGCATTGCCCTGATGAACCATGAATTTGTAATGCCCATGCGTATGGAAACGGAGGCCGATGATTCGGGCTTTGAGTCGGGCAGCGAGAGCGATTTGTTGTAGCCCAGCTATGGGGAATATGTGGTAGCCAGTCCAGTTGCATGCATAATAAATTCTATGAAACCGTGCCAGCGCCTTACCTTAATTCCAAAATGACGAGAGCTTAACTAAAATGATTATAGACCCATTTATCATAATTTGGTTTATTCATGTCAATTTGATTTGTTTCTCGGAACACAAAATCCGTTTTACACATACATATATAATACGCAACTTGCGTGTAATGGTCTATATGTGTGTGTGTGTGTGTGTTCGTGTGTGTGTAAGTCCTGTAAATATGCATACATATATATGTTTGTAAATAGATTAGTTAAGAGATTTTGCAGTTACATTTATTTTACACATACAATATTTGATATATTCGCAAATATTTATTTTGTATACATTTTAAATACGGATTACGAGTACACGATTTCAATTTGTAGTTCCTTCTCTCTATTTGTTTTTACTTGGTTTTTTTTTTTAAAGATTTTTGTATTTGTGTTTTTCAGTACATTTATATTGATTTTTATAAATATACATTTTGCCGTTGTTTTGATTTATATATTCCATCAATTTAGTTTTGAAATAAGTTCAAAGTTTCTTTTGTCACGTTCGTTTAGTATGCAGTATATATATAAAATTTAAGTTCCTATTCACTTCACGTTTTTTTCTTTTTATCTAATATCCATAATTGTGCCTACTTTTCAAGTATATTTTATGCTTAAATTACATTTCATTTTTAAAGTGAATTAATTATCACGCCTAAAATAAAGTTTCAATTTCTCATTAAAATGAACAACGGGTTTTATGCTTTATATAAAAGTGAATGTTGAACTAATGGACTAAATAGTTGTTAGTTGATGACTAAACGTTAATTTGATATCATAAAAGTGTTTATTACTACAAGATATGGTGTCTTTCTTAGCCACTGTGGCTTCTAAAAACGATATATATATATCATCCATATATAATACTCTAAAATATTTGTTGTTTCCTTTTTAATTGTTACGTATTTATCATAATATCTTCAAGTAGCGATAAAATTATAAATAAGTTCTAATTGAACGATAAAAAGTTGAAATAAAATAACATGAATCAATATTATCTTAAACTAGCTGCAACTGATTATACAGATACATAATTCATTATTTGTCATTGCTCAGTTTTTACGTTATGGATATAAGTAGTTGCTTAAAATACGCTTCATTTGGTATATATTTTCGTATATAAATATATCGTAAATTAGTATGAAATTATGTAAGATTGTTAGAGTCGGGAGGGCTCGACTAGAATATACCCCGTACCCAGTGCGGCAATGTATCTAACGGTTTTCTGAAGTATATACAAACTAATCATGAAATTAATTTGATGAGGTTGCTTTGCCCATTATCGACTATAACTATAATCGTTTGCCATCAACTGAGAATAAGATACTTTGTCGATCAGCGATAACACAAACTATCGATTAGTTACTTGCGTTATTTTATAGACCTTGCTGATATAAAAACGGACCCACAGACAGATAAATAAATACAGGTAAATAAATAAATAGTCAAGAAGAAACTTTTGTAGATACCAGAAATATACTTCATAAAAAAAGCCTTTTATATTATACCATAACTGGACACAGAGTATGACACGTACCTAAACACTAATCAGATATATGTACTAATGATAATGTAAATATTTATAGATTAGTATTTGTATATATAGGTATGTATCTGCAGTATGTATGTATGTGTAGGTATTTAATGTTGCACAGTGTGAGTGTGTGTCTGTGTGGGCTTTAAGTACATCTATAAATTCTTTAAAATTTCTAATGGTGTATACATTTATTTCCATTTGATTAAGAGACTGGGCAGAGGGTTGAATGGCGGGGCGGGGGTGGGTAGATTTGTTGGCTTCTCAACTACGTTTTGTTGTTGTATGTAAAATGCATAAACATTCAGCTTATAAACTAGACTTTGCTCTCAGCAATTTAATCTGTTCCACTTAACACACATATACATACATATCAGCTATAGGTAAATGAGTAACTTTATATGCATGTGTGTGTGTTGTAGTTGTCGTTGTTGTTCTTCTAGTTGCTGTTGATAGGTTTTGTATTTGTTTTAGTGAGTGTGCAATGCACTCATGATAGGGAGGGCTTTACATGAAATCCATAAATTGTATATAGCTACTGCTGAGTTAGTCCAAAGACTGAGTTAAAGTTGAGTATGCGACTGTGTGTGTGTTTGATAGAAAGTGTGTGTAACTGTTTAATTAGTTTCGTGTGAGTTTATGGCTGCTGCAGTTGAAATTTTAATAATTGCCCACGCTTAATTCCAATCCAATTAAAATTCAATTAATGTGCATTAATTTGCTTTTACCTTGTTTTTGTTTCTCCAATTTGTTCAATATATGCATGCGTGTATTTGATTATAATTTGGTTTTTTGCTTTCTTTTTTTATTTGTATTGAACTTCTGTCTCTTGGCAGATTTTGCAACTTACAGCACATACCCGTAACCTCAGTAACCAGTCGCATCGAACAGATCGGGCAGGACGAGCGGCGGGCAGTTGTGGGGACTGCATGTGACGCTGGGCAGCTCATCAGGTGTCACCGCATCCGTGCAAATGCACTGCAAACAGTTGCCGGTGTCCTGTGGCAGAATTTCACCAATTTTATACAATTTGCCTGCGACAACAATCAATAGAGGGTAGACAGAGATGAAGTGTGCATTGTTGTTGCAGTTGCAGTTGCTGCAGCTATTCGTCATGTTGTTGTAATTTTCAACTTACCAAGTACATTGCACATACGCCCCGTTGCCAGCGGCGTTGTTGTTATAATCGTTGTCAGCGTGTAGGGCGGCACACTGTACTGATTGCTGCTGCTGCTGCTGCTGCTGCTGATGGCCACACGCGGCGTTGTTGTTGTTGTGGCTGCTGTTGCTGGTTGCATTGTTGTTTGTTGTCTCGCAGCAGCAGCGCCCACGTCTGACGTTTGGTTGTCTTTTGCAATTAAATCCGTTTGCGCACTGGCATCAGCTTTGGGCAACTGCTGCTGCTGCTGTTGCTGATGTTGTTGATGTGGGTGCACATCGACAGCAGTTAGTGTAATGTCAATATTGACTACGCTGCCATTGAATTCGCTGCTGTAATCATTGTAGGAGCTACGAAAGAACACAGCATCCGCATTGTCAGCTATGTTGTTGCCGTGCCTGTTGCCATTGTCTTTGCTGCTGCTGCTGCTGCTGCTGGTGGTGTTGTTGTTGCCTTTGTTAATGCCAACATCATCGATTATTGTTGATGCTGGCGTTTCCTGTTCGACAGCAACTGCTGCTGCTGCTGCTGCCGCAGCTGCTGCCAAGCTATCGTCGAGCGTGTTTGTGCTGTCAACATTCAGTTCCGTCGATGTCAGCCAGCGATGAAATGCATCGTCAGCTTCCTCAATTTCCTGATCCTGTTGCAGCTATACACAGCAGTCAAATTGGATTATTATAATAAACGTAATATATAAAAGCTATTAAATGGACCCGCACACACCCAAGCCCTAGCCCAGTACCCAGTTCCAGCCTAATGGCTACTAAATATTCTTCATCAAGTTTTATTTCTGCTTCTGAGTTTGCTTTGAGGTCATCTTCATGAACATTAAACTCAAATAAATAATAAAACAGCTCAGGCATAAAATATTCTTGAGCAAAATTCTGTACGAACTACAGATTGCAGCGCATGTCCATAAAGTGTGCAATCCTTAAAAACATAATTGGCTGCACTTTGGCAGCAGCTCGTGGCCCTCCGCACTCTCGGGTCACTGACTGCAACAGCAACCACTGTCATTTGCTGTGGCTTGTGGCGTTTTATTCACACCCTTGCCGAGGGTATTTAGGCTAAGTTGAATTGATTGTGCTGCTCTTAAGGATACTTCTTTCAGCTCTTGTGAATACATATTATATATATTTATATATATACGTACTTGATCAGGTCACCAGCCTCCTGATCATTTCAAACCTCTAAAGCTATAAGATAATTCGAACACACAATGTTATCTTATATGTAAGATAGTCACCGTATCGTAATATATGTATAACATTAAATACTTCGCTTAATGCTGACTCATCAATTATAAATAAAATTAAAGTGTCACTTAGTCACTTTCTTTTGGCAAAACATTATATGATTATTAGTATAATATATCTATTTCTATCGCTATCGATTATAAATTGACTTGTTAACTGAACAACTTGTTTGCCCTTCAAAGCTATCCGGACAACATCTTGTTATATGGCAGCCATATCTTTAATCTAGCGACTGTCTGCAGAGTATTCAATCACTGCCAGCCTGAAGCTAACTCTTACTTCTTCTATTTTATTTTATTTGCACTCACATTTGTATTTGCCATAGCAACCGCTGTGGCTGCTGGTTGGCTGCGCGGCGTTGTCATCATTTCGATTGTTGTTGCTGCTGCTGCCATTGTTGTCGCCTTGACTATGCTGCTGCTACTGCTGCTGCTGCTGCTGTTGCTGTTGTTGCTGCTGTTGCTGCTGGTGGCTGTCAATGTTGTTGCTGGTCGCTTGGTTGGTGGCTCGGGCAAAATATCGCTGTCTGTTTCCGCCTCATCAAAGTTTTTATCAGTGCCCAAGTCTGTGCTGAGTTCAACAATTGCGTTCGTCTTTTGCAGTATCTTCTGCTGTTGCTGCCGCAGCTGCTGTTGCTGCTGCTGTTGCTGCTGTTGTTGTTGCAGCCGTTGCTTTTCATGCAGCAAGTGCTGCTGATGATGCTGATGCTGATGATGCTCATGCTCCTCCGTTTTGTAGTCGTAATAAAGCAGGGCCGGCAAATTTTCGGGAAAATTTAAAATTTTACTGGACGAGTGAGGCTGATGGGCGTGCAAATGTTGCTGCTGCTGCTGTTGGTGTAGGTGTTGCTGCTGTGGCGGCTGCTGCTGCTGTTGCTGCTGCTGCTGAGGCGGTGCCAATTGTTGTTGATAATGCGTTTCCTTTGCTGCTTGATTAACAGAAGTTGCTGCCATATGGAGTGGCTGCTGCTGCTGCTGTTGAGGGGGTTTCTTATGTTGCTGCTGCTGCTGTTGTTGCTGGAGGTTTGCCGTTGCCGTTGCCGTTGCCAACTTTTGCTGCGGCTCATGTTTGTGTTGCTTGATTATATTGTAGTTGCTGTGGTTGGCAACGCTGTCGCTCTTTTGTTTTTGTTGCTTTATGTCTGGCTTTTCATAATCCGGCGCCTGCTTGCGGCTGTGGTAAACTTCGTAGTCATTAAAATTCTTTTGATTCTTGTGATGCTTGTGCCGCTTGCCAGCTTTCCTCGCCGTTTTGTGCAGTTTTGTTGATTTTCTCGTTGTGGTCTCGTACCGATACGGATCCGAATAGTCACCGCCGCCATCCGCTGCAGCTGCCGTTGCCGTTGCCTCTGTCTCTGCCTCTGCCTCAACCTCTGCCGCTGCAGCTGCTGTCGCTACTATATTTACATTCGCCTTATCTGCGCAGAAAGCGAAAAGTTTCATCTACATTTTGTGTATTAAACCACATAAAACTCGATTCAAACTAACCGCATTTCTCCCACCAGCAGAATATTTCGCCGTCCATGCAAAGGCAAACCTCGCAGGGATCCAAACGCGGCACCTGCCACAAAGCAAAACATAGAAAAATGGGCAAAAACAAGGGTTTAACAAATCTGTAATATGTATATATTTTTATATATATGTATATATATATACAGTTGTAAACCGAAAACAATATTGAACATGGTGTGTGAAGTCACGTTGTTTGTCGTCAGCAAACAGGATCAAAATCTGTAAAATGAATATTTTGGTTTGGCCCTTAGGAAATATGTGTAGTGCAACTGCACTTAAAGCTAAGGGTAAAGCTACCTATAAATTCCAATCAAAAACGCGTTTACAGCCCATTTAAATATCCTAAGACCCAGAAATATATTTTAGAATGTATGTACAACAAATGTGCACATTATTTTAACTACCAACATGTGGAAAAATTGGTACAAAATATTTTTACAAAATAAATAAATATATTTGCCGAATAGCAGAAAATTCGTTGAATTCTGCAATTATTTTCTGACAGTTGAACAGCAATTTCTGTAAAGTAAATAATTTTTTATAATTCTCTTTTTTAATTGGAAAATTTTCTGCGAAAAACTTAACATGCTTACATCTGTAATTATTGCGTAAACCAATTCTTAGAAAAATTATTTGTACGCTGAAATAATTGCGAGTTAACTGACTCTGATGCTGATATCAAAAAGATGTTCTTTTTGTCGGTTGACAAATGGCATAATCTTACGATTCGAGGAAAATATCCCAAATTCTATAAAATATATGGGTTTTATATAATAGTCTTACTTTGTCAACTGGTCGAGCTTCAGTTAATACATTCGTATGTTGTAAGCTGTAGCTGAACTATATCCCATTTATGTTAACATATGCATATGGTAGAAATCCTTATTCGACAAACCTCTACCTGTATTTTCATAGCCAGATCAACATTTATCAAAGTCCTAACTGTAAAATCAACGTCTGAATAAGTCATTTGATGTTGGAGCTGACAGCAAGAAAACCACTTAAGGCACACGGTGCAACCGCATATGAATATTCCTCACAGGTAACAGCGAATAACATGGCGAAAAGCACAGGTGTAGCAAACGTATAAAACACGGTTGGCTTTCTATATATCTGTGTATGTGTGCGTGTGTGTTGCGCTTACCTTTTGGCCGTGTGTGTACTTGTGGCCATTTGTGAAACATGCCGCTGCCCTGCTGTGTGGCTCCAAGTCGTCCGCAACCTCAGCCGCAGAGCTGGAGCCAGCGGCAGCAGCCGTCGAGTCGGTGTTGGAGTTGGCATTGAAATTGTTGTTGTTGTTGTTGTCGTTTTTGTTGGTGTTAGAATTGGAGATAATGCCGGATTCAATGTCTGCTCTCTGCTGAATCTCAGCGTCGCTTAGCATTTGCTCGGACAGCAGGCGTGCATCGTATTTGGCCTGGGATTGTGCCTCGTCCAGGTCGTAGTTGAAGTCATCCACATGTTCGTCTAAATACTCGAAAGGCAAAGCTGCGGTAGGGCCAGGTCGCAGGTAAAATGTGCGGGGCAGCCAAGCAGAAAGAGAGAATAAAGTAAAAAGGTGCCATAAGCCGCTGTTGAATTGGCTATTCGACTCTGATGTTTGTTGATGTTGTTGTTGCTGTTGCTGTTGCTGTTACTTTAAGGTTATTTAAAGCTTTACTAGCTGGTCTAAAACCGTTTTGTGGGCCATTATTAAGGCTAAGCTGCAATCAGCAGCCTGTCGCCACCTTTCGAAAAGGTCATAAACTGCCGACAGCCAACTGCTTACTCAAATTTTTTTCGTTCTGTTTTTTATGCTGCTCACATATTTGATAAATTATCATAAAAAATAATGAAAAGCATAACATTTGTGAGCACTTGGAAATAAATCAAAAGCGCGCATAAAACACAAATTCACACACACACACACACACACACACACTGAAACAGGAAGAGATTTGTGGTTGTTCGTGTGTGTGCTTTATGGCATTTGTCATTAAATCAAAAGGCTGCGCTCATAATCACATAAAATGAAAACTTGAGAGCCGAAGCAAATCACAAATGCAAAATGTTAAGCAGTATTGAAGCGTACGCTCATAAAATGTGCATAATTTATTTGACACAGATTTTATGCACTATACGTTTCAAAATTGTGGACTAAATAATGCTACTTGAAAAAATGTAAACAATTTTGTTTGCAATATGCGTCGAATACGACTTTGAATTTTTGCAAAAAATTAAATGTTTCCTCGATTCAATTGTTATTATTGAAAATGAACCCCTATTTAAAATTTCTGGCAGTTTAAATCTACCTCTAAGCCAGCAACATTTCAACAATATTAGTTTACTCTGCATGGGTTGTTTGTGCTGTGAAATAACATATTGAAAATCTGAATGATATTTCAATTTAACTGAAGTCATAAATTTCTATTTCTCAATTGAATTTCGTCCAGGATTTAGTACAGCGTTAACTGTAAACGGACTGTATAATGTATTACATTTAGCTGGCAGCTAACAACCGGCCACTTCTTGAGACTCACCCTCGGCCAGGTGCTGTTCGAGACGCAGTAATCCAAAAATGCTGCAACTATGCCAGAGCAGCAAACAGAGCCACAAGCAATTGATGCTTGTCATGCTGGTGCCTCGGCTGGTGCCTGCTCTGCTAATAATCCTTGGCATGCTGTTTTCGTTTCCGTTTCCGTTTCCGTTGCCGTTGCCGTTGTTTGAGGATTTCGTACACTTAGTGGCACATTCTATGGCGCTTGGCTCACAAAATAAACACGCAACCTTCGCACAATAAACGTCAACAAAAACAACGACACAGTTCACAGTTTTTCGTTGTTTGTTTGCAAATTCTTTTTTATGTATTTATTTTTGCGCTGTAGTTTATTTTTACACAAGTGTTGCAGTTAGTTGTCTGCTGCGGGGGCTTTTTCTTGTTATTTTTATCAAATGAACACGCGGCACACTTCACACGGCGCAGTGCAACTTAAGCAGGCGGCTGCCCTTAAAAGTAGGCAACACTTTTATTCTTCTCTTGCGCAACGCCCATTTATAACTGTCTGCCTTTACTTTAATCATCTATTACCATTCCCATTGCTTATATTCAATTCATTTGCCAAGTTGGTAATCGCACAACTGTGATTTGCCCTTGCTACGTGCCAGCCAGACCCCTACAAGCTGCAACCCCATCCAATCAGACAAGCAGCTAACCAACAAGTGTTTCTTCACTTTTGCGCTACGTGCCTTATGTAACTCAGGCAAAGTTGGCCAACAGACGAGAGCCCCGGCGGAGGCTACAGAGCCCCAGCCCAGCTGCGCGTGTAGTAAACAATTTGAAATCAAATAAACGCCATTAACTAATCAAAAGAAATTGCTGATGGCTTATTTATGTTGCCCTCGGGTAAATAAATACATTGTTCAAATAAAATAGCTCATTAAAATTTGAAAACATATTGCAAAAAGGATTATAAGTTACCAAGCTGCTGAGGTTGCCAACTTAAGTACCTTAAATATTTGAGTTTTCTAAATATAATTTTAAAAAATTATAATAATTATATTTGCACATATACCAATAGTACAAATACTAAGAAAAATAATACAAATATTTAAAACCCTTATTAAAACTTAATTTGCATACCCCTAGATCCCTTTTGATCAAGTATAATGCTGTTTAGCCCTTGAGTATCCCTAAAGAATATGGTAAATTAGGTTTTGAAAAGGCACAAGTCCCGTTAGCCTATGATAGAATATCTTGTTACCCTGCATTATAAAAAAAGCGACTTATGAGCTTGAATTCCAATCGTAAATATTTTTCAATAATTATAATATTCAATACCGTAATCGCAGCTTATACACCAACATTTTCAATACTCAGTTAAAGCCAATACTATTTTTATTCATATGCTTAATCCCTTTTTAAGCCAATTCACACATCTGTGATATTAACAGCATCCAAGGAAGCTATCTGCAGAACAAAATAAAGTCTCTTCTGTAATAAATATTTATGACCTCTCCCTCTTGCTTTTACCCAATGGCCAAAGCTAACAAGGAACTAGCATTGAAAGGATTGCCAGAGCAGCGAGCCGCTAATGCAGAGCTCAAATTCGCATAAAGTGTTTATCGGCAAACAATGCTAAGGTAAATGCACTGTCAGAGTGCTTAATTTATGGCATAAAAGGATAGAGAGATGGGCTGGATGCCGGAAGGGGGATGGGGGAGGCAAGAGTATAGAACAGAGTAAAACAAAACACTTGAGCTAAACAATTCGCTCGAGGCGAATGCGGAAGTGAAATGCCAAAAGCGAAAAGTGGCAGAAAGAAAAAAGAAGGCAGGAAATCAGAATGTGGAACGTGAAGTGCGAGGCGATGTCAAACGTGAGAGACAAAACGGAAATTCATTGCCAGACGTTTGAAGTGTGAGAAATTAGCACAATGCACAGACACACACACACAGACAGTCAGAGACACACAAGCACAGCACACACGCACAGTGTTTTGGATAACTTTTAGTACCACTGTAGAATCCATGTCTGTCCGCTGGGGCGTATGAGCAATATTTGATTTACGTTTAATTTGTAACAACTTCCGCTGCACATGTTCAGCCACTGATTAAATTCCAATTTTAATTCATATGCACACATGCGCAAGCTCACACACCCACATAAACCATGTTTTTTTTTTTTAAATTTTGTTTGCATTCAATTAAAACGCTTTGATAATTACATAATTAAATTATTTGTTAATCAAATGCAGGCCATACAAATTATGCCCTATGATATTCAAATTTGTCTCTCTGACTGACACTGACGCGCTGTCTGACGCCTGACAAATTGCCTGACTTGTCAAGCACGGCGGGTACGTAATATTTGCTAAACGCGTCGTTAAGGCTCAACGCAACGTCGCCCACTGTTGCCGCCAGATGCTGTGCACTGCCTATTTAAGCAACAGCAACAGCAGCAGCAGCAACAGCAACAGCGGACAGCATCCAACAACTCAATCTGCAGGCTCTCTCTCTCTCTCTCTCTCTCTTTCTGTTACGCTCTCTCACTCTCACTTTTGCGCTCTGCCTTACGCTTTTGCTTTTTATGAATGAGCTTGTGTGCGCTAAACACAGCTCAAATGAGCGGCGCTGTTAACAGTTCGCTCACTGTTAAAACACTGTTAGCTGCACTCTTGTGTGCGTATGTATATGTGTGTTTTTGGGTACGTTGCCTGTAAATTACATTAAAATGATTCAGTTTTGTGCAGCCATTTCCTCGGCGCAGCCTCTTTGTACAAATTGCATCTGGGCAGCCTATGGGCAAGTTGTTGTAGTTGTTGCTGTTGTTGCCATCCATTAAACGTTAACACTGCAACAACAGGCGCAACTTTACGCACACAACCATATAGGTTTCATTTTCATTTTTATTTTTCTTTATTCTTTTTTTTTATTATTTTGAATTTTTGCGCTGTGTAAAGTGTAAATATGTAAATGTCCTGACACACATAGACACACACACGCATCTTGACTGAGGCTGACTGACAGGCGATGTGAAGGCTCGCACTGAGGCTGAGGCTGACGCTTGTTAGACATGACAATGCGTGTTTATGTCAGGATAACTGTCAACAGTTGCCTGTTTCGCCAACTCCTCCTGTCTTACGTCAGATATGTGTGTACGCTTTCAGCTGCTAATTTCTTTTATAAATTTTATGCGCTACATTTACATAAAAATCGTATAACGCATCATTTTCACATTCCTCAATTGTCCCGCTGTCACACTCCACTTCTCACATATGTTAGCCATATGCATTAAGATAAATTCTGTTGTGCACGCAACAGTTGGCACATGTCTCATAGAAGATATACGATATGCTATATATGATATATGGCATAGATATGTCATGAATGGCAACCCAATCGATTGGTTTCCGGCCCCAAACTCAGCCAACTAAACGGAAATCAATGTGGGCTGACATCTGAAAAATGTCAATTGCCAGCAATATTTTCACTTGGCCAACAACAACAATCATCTATGTGAAATTATGAGCCATAACAGCTTGACAGCATTGACTCTTGGTTGTTGTTGTTTTTTCTGTCGGGCATATTTGATGGGCCTAATAATTCAGCTAAGTTCAAATATGTTCGCACAATATATCAAAATATAAATTTCACAAATTTATAAAATAATAATTTACGTGCTTATTTACATACAATTAATAACAGTGTTTATTCAAAGAATGTCATTAAATATGTGTATATAAGTGTATTGGAAGTAGTCCTAACTGAACAACAGACTCAGTTGATGCATGTAAAGATATCCTTTACATACGAGCCGTTGTCATTGCTGGCAATATATTTTTAAGCGAATTCCTGTATCAAACGTATTTAAAAATATATTCCTATAGTTAGAATATTTAGTATTGGCTTAAAACATGTAAATAATAATATTAATATAATTAATATTTAATTTGGCTTAAAATAACAGCCCAACTTTATCAGACAGCGCATTATTATATAGGAGATATAAATAAATAGGTTATATTAGCATAAAAGGTTAAAGGTTTGCATAGAGATCAGATACACGGTAGCTGGAGAATGAAAGGGTATTTGAAAAGCAGTTATCAAAAATGTTTCTCTTTGTTTATATGCCATTGCGCACTTAAAGTTACGACTTGAAAGAAACTTGACAAATTTCATGAAAATGCGAAATGGCATTTGCCGTGGGGGCAAGTCTCGAAAATCAAATCACTTAAGTAATTGTTTTACAGCAACCCACGCTCCCGCTCCCGCTCGCAGCCCCTTTGGTCCAGCATCCCGTCGTCCCTCTTAAAATAAAATCTATTCATAGAATCAGGCACAGGCCGGGCTAAAATTTAATAAAACTGTCAAATGCTTTTGTTTGATTTTATTAGTCATAATACTCGGTATTTATTATATATCGCTTAAGTCCTTAAAATCCTTTTGCTCCGAAAATGTCACAAAGTTATGCCATAAATATTAATATAAATTGTTTTAAATTTTTAAGTAGCCCGAAAAGATTTATAAATTAGCCAAGGCGGATGGCAGGTCATAAAAATGATTCATTTAATTGAACATGTGTTTCCTTTTAGCTTAAGCCAAGACAAGTGTGCTAGCGTGGGCAGTGTGGGGGCGTGGCAGGGTAGTGTCTTAAGTTTATGCAAATTAAACAACAATTATAAATTCTAAAGGACAGTTTTGTGTAAGAGACCCTTTGGGGGCGAGGTCAACCACTACATAGAACAAAGCTCAGGGCCTGCAAATGTAAATGCCGTATGTAAATATTTAAAATGATAAAATACAAAAGCCCTTACCCCGCCCCCAAACTCGGCCCCTTCCTCACCGCCAAGGCATTAGACTTTATGCAAATTGTAGAGCAAATGTTGCTGCAGGCTGCTGCAGACACTTGTCAATGGCATTGTAAGGGCTAAAACCAGATTAAGATGCCATACAAAAGAAAGAACAAGAGGAAATGATTTGCATTCTGCATTTATTGGTAGTGCAAACGTATGTGGGTAATTATATATATATATATATTTTTTAGGCCAATTTACTTTTGGCCAGCTTACCACATAAGATGCTTTTAATTTAATTAACATGGCTTGGTTATTTTATGCCTTAAACAAAATATTTATCCAGCCGAGATACCACAAAAGCAAAACGAAAATTTACCACATTTATTGAACGAATTGCAACTCATCATTTTCTAGCCACAAATGCAATTTTAACCGGCTTCCCTATTGTTGCCAATTTGGGGCCATTTGTTATTGTATTTTATTGCTTTTGAATAACAATTAATTTATATTTTTGATTTGCAGCTGAAGGTAATTTAAATTTATTAAATGTTTGCATAGAGAAAATTAAAAAAAAAATAATGCTTGGAGCGATAAAAGCCCATAAATGGAGTGTTAAAAATGTTCAAAGTTTTTGCCCAGTTGCCAAGAAAAGTTGACAAACAAACTTTACAAATACACAGACACACACACAGGCACACACACACACAGCATAAAAACACACACACACAGAGATTTTTATATATTAAGCAAAAAAGTTCTCAAAAACTAGCTATAAAGCGCAACCCAGTTGTATCACAAAAATGAACTCTAAAACTTTTCATTTTCAACAAAAGGAATTTTTATCGCACATTTTTATTGTTGTTGTTGTTATTTTGAAAAGTTTTCTTGCACTCGGCATAAAATGACCCACAATATGTTGGCTTAAAAAAAGCAAATTGTGTAAAATTAAAAACGTAAACTTGAAATCAAATTATTTTCACGTTTCAATTACAAAGAAAAACTTTAATTGCAATTGCCAGAGAAAAGAAAAAGGAATTAAGAAAAAATAAATGAAACGAAACGAAGAATGAAGGCAAAAACTTATCTAAAGTACCTGCAATTAAGAATCGTGCCGAAGAATTAAAAACGTAAAAAGGGCTGCCCATTAGAGGTGCAGCAAAACGAAGCAAACGTAGTAGACGAAGAAACTATGAAAGATTACTAAAAG